TATATGGTGTTTGTTGTATATCCAGCTAGGCTTTTATAAAAAAACAATAAACATTAAATAAACAAAAGACAAATAGCCAAAACTGGTCAAAATATCGCACTCCTATTATTTTGTAGACAACTGTATATGTATGTACATGCAACATGACCGCGCGTGACAAACTAAGAATAAAAATATTTACTTTAGTAAAATGAAAATGTCAGCTCGACTTACGCGCGCTGTCAAGTGCATGCACATATATTTATACCAACAAAAAATTTTGTATGCATCGTTTTTTTTTATAAACACACACATATGTACGTACCTACATACTTAAGTATGTAGAAAAAGCGGAAATAATTGAGGAAGTAGTTGTATCAATGGCAAACTTTTGTGTTGATATTTACACATGTATGTATATATGTGCGCGCGCTTGAAAAACGTAACGGATACGTTTCGTAAACATTCAAGCAACGGAGCTTATACAATTTTCTACTTAACTTCCGTCGAAGGAGAGCCAACGACTGCAGGCTGGCAATTGTATGTACATATATATACAGGTTATGTTTGCGTGTGTGTGATTGTGAAAATATACCGAAGCATTGCACTGACATATAGTATACATATGTTTGTATGTATTTATTATTTGCAGCTAGCAGACATTGAAAAGTGGCAAATTGNAAAAAAAAAAAAAAAAAAAAAAAAAAAAAAAAAAAAAAAAAAAAAAAAAAATAAAAGCAACCAAACTGTTTGCAAGAAGCGTGGAAATACTTACAACAAATACTATTGTTGAAAAGTTAAAGCAAAACGACTGCAGCGAAATATATAAAATTATTTGTCTGCAAAGTGGAAATAAAAATGTATTTTTCTTTTATCATTTTGCACGCAGTGAAATTCTTACGCCTGCGGGGCTGCAAACTCGTAAAGTTGAGTTAGCTGTAGTTGCTTATATTTTTTACCGAACTATTTTCACTTTATTATTCTTTTGCCGCTGTTAACTGCTGAGGTTTTTATATTATGCGCTTACGCTTTTGTTTTCTCCAACACTTACTTACTCTTTACAGCTTACTTTTTGTTTTGTTTTATAATTCTTTTATTCTTGTTTTAAAGCTTACCTTTATTCGTTTGCAAACGCATTTTCCTCCAAACATTTTTATATCCAATTTGCTTTGGATTATATTTTTGTTTTGTTATCATTAAAGTTACTATTTCTAAAGAGCACACTTTAGGAAAGCACAGCAAAAATCATCCTCAATAATAATTCCATCATTATGTACAACTCAAAGCTGTTTGCTGCAGCAGCTTCGAAGTAGGCCACATTGAAGAATATTTAAGACATCTCCAGTAGTGTTGAGTGAAAAAATTTCTTGAAATCTTGTCAACCTTTCTGCATTAGTGAGGACAAATAAATACATTCCATGGACGAAAGACTAATGACATATATACACATGAATAAGCATTATAAGGATACCTATTAAAACTATGTGTTCACTATGTTGGAATTGTTAAATGACATTTTAAGGCACAAATATTTTTGGGAAATTGTGATCATGAATATTAAAATTTATAATATGTACTCCCACAGAAAAAGATGATTTGAAAAACCTTTGGCCGATAGGAAACACCGGAAATAAGTTAAGGCGTAGTGAGTATTTCAGCGTACATTTCGTGTTAAAGCCGTAATTTATTTTAAGGCTCCGTAACAATAAAAATCATAGTTTAACCATTAAAATTTTCTTAGTTTTCTATTTCTATTAATTTTATCATATTTAACCGTTATTTTTTGACGTTTTTTTTTTGGTCAAGAATAATCGTAATTTTTGGATTTAAATTTTTTCGATACAATTTTGATCGTTATTAATCGACTTCCAAAAAAGGGGGAGGTGATCAGTTCTATTGATACTAGTATACTAATCTGGTTTAGTTCCCATCATGGGATTATGAAATATATATATATATATATTTTTTTTTTATGTGAGAATTGAAGTCGGTTTTGTTTTTTTGCTTAAAAATGACTTGTTTTTTAATTTTATTTTTTTTTCGATCCTATTATAACAGTTCAGTTGTCGCTGCGCCTGGGTTCAACCCCTGGTAAAATCAACATCGAAAAAGAAAATAGAAAAAAGGTTTTTTCTTAACAGCGGTCGTCCCTCGGCAGGCAATGGCAAACCTCCGAGTGTATTTCTGCCATGAAAAACAGCTTCTCATAAAAATACAATCGCCGCACAGTGCCGCGACTCCATACAAATGATGGACAAAAATAGAAGAAGTGGTCAGAATTGGCTGAAACTTCACTTCTAGAAGTATTATGCCTCTCTAATTTCAAAAATGAAATCGGTTTTTCTGTACCGGTTACTCATTTCGAGATTTCTTGCATTTTTATATGAAAATAGTCATTGTGGACATGTGTTGATATAAGTGAAAGGAGGCATCAGAATGGGCTGAAACTTTACACCTGAAAGGACTATATCACCGCAATTTAAGAAAAAAAAAACGTTTTTCAGCATCTGTTACCATTTAATTAAAAAAATTTTTTTTTTACAATTTTATAAAAAGGTAAAATAACTCATAATCATCGTAGACATATGTTTATAAAAACCGAAATAGTATTCAGAACTTGTTGAAACTTTACACCTAAAAGGTCTAAGCCATGCTTATTTCAAAAATGAAATCGATTTTTCGGTACCGGGTACCCATTAAAAAAAAAAGATTTTTTTTTTACATTACTATATGAAAGACAAATGAGGCATAATCATTGCTGATTGTGGTGTTTACGAAAACCGGAAGGAGTCGTCAGAATTTATTGAAACTTTACATCTGAAGTGTCTATATTACTCTAATTTTAAG